TTATAGCCAACACTTCATTCACACAACATACTCTATTAATATATTAGCCAGATTTTTACTAAATAAGCAACAGGGGACTACATTCACACTAAATCCTAGGCCAGTGGTGGCGAACCTATGGCACGCGTGCAAGAGGCGGCACTCAGAGTCCTCTCTGTGGGCACAGAGGCCATGCCCTGGAGATGGCAACCGTCCCTCTTCAACCAGATGCCCACTAACTCGCCGAGGTCCCACATGGCCGGATGCATCCCAGCACCCATCCGCTCACTGGCCTCTGTGTGCAGAGGTCGATGGTGTCAGGCAGCAGCCGCTGCTGCCACAACTTGCCCTGTGACAATGGCACCCCCACCCTGCCTCGCCTTACCCCGCAGGACAAGCCTCTTGCCCACCGCCACACCTGGCAGAGACCCCCTGGATCTCCCCCAACCCTGCCCGGCCCCCACAGGCGTCCCTCCCCACGAGCAACATCAAGGTGATCATGCCCACCTTGGCCACTCCCACCCAATCTGCCATGACCACCACAGCCATGCCCACCTGGCACCCGGCAATAAATAAGTGGGTTTTGGGTTGCATTTGGGCACTCGGTCTCTAAAAGGTTTGACATCACTGTCCTAGGCTGTTGACTGAGTGATATATGAAACCAGAACCAAATAAACCACATTATGTGTGAACCCTATCCCAATGGTTAATTCAGCCAATGAGAACCGCTGAATCACCACAACAAGCACTGTTATCTTGATTATGACAAAAAACAAAATATATATTGCTTGTTTCCTTAGGAGTACAGGCATAGAGACCTTCTACCAAATCCTATGGAATAGCATTCACCACCAAAATTCTAAAATTACCTAAAGGTTTGCTTCTTAATTCAGGATTGCAGATCATTTCTACCTGGGCATAAAAACAGTCCAAGTCCAGATGCACAATGATTCGGTTCCAACCATTTTCTTTTGGCACAGCTTGGCCATGATGACCTGCAAGCCAATTTGACATACAGAACAATTTGTTTCCTATTGCCTCTGTGGTCATCCAGCCTCCTTAACACATCACTCAGAATGGCCACAATCACTTCTGTTTTGGGCCTTCCAAACCAGGATGCTGAATTTTAGACTGCTTTTTATCACCTGTGATTTTCTAACAGTAATACATTATTGGGCAAATAAAACCCTCCCTTGTTTTAACAGCTTATTGATAAACAGTTTTCAGTTTAAAACATCACTCCATAGTTTACATGTCATTTTCTTTTTATCAGCATCTTGCTAGCTCATATGCAAGTTTGCAAATAGAGATGGCTGGTTTGTGATCCAATTGTAGGATATTGTTCAGTGTGAACTGATCCCAGCAACTGGGTTACTTAAGCAAACCATTCTGATTAACAAGCTCTATAAAGACAAACAGATGATCACTTTTGCATCTGGAGAAAAGTATTACTCCTTCCCAAGGAGGTGCAGGCTGCAACCTGTAGAATAATTTTAATCTCTGCATTTCCACAGCACAAGGAATTACAATGAAGCCAACCACATTTTGGCCAAGAGTACTGTGGAAACCTAGCCAATACTAGTAGTGTCTGCTTCAAAGTGTTGACTGGATGCAGAAAATTAAATGTCAATTACACATTAGTTAAAAACAACACTTAGGATCCTGCTCTTTCCCAGAAGGAGAGGGCAAAATTCCAGGAAGTAAAGGTTCTTTAAGGGTAAAGATAGTCTCCCAATCCAAGCCAAGATTAATCCCTTTTTGCAAAGCATCCAGGTTTGTTTCCCATTTGGACAAGCAGGGAACTCCATCAATGTCCTTTTCCTAACTCTGACCTTGAACCCTAACCTTTTGCCAAAGGAAAATATTCCATCAGCTCCAGTGAACCACTGATATCAACTACAAAAGTGGGAGGCACAGAGACAAGATTACCTTCATAACTTTATACTGAATTTCCACCCCACTGAACCGTAAACCACTTGGGCTAGGCTCACAGGTGAAAATCAGACTAGATTAGGGCCCACTAGTAGTGTGAACGCGGCCTTTAAGAATGAGCACGGGACAGAGTTTCGAAATAATTCTTTTTTAAAGCACTTAATTCGGATCGTACCCCCACCCCAGCCCCGTCTTAGCTCCCGTGCTTTCTCCTCGAGTACGCACTGCCCTATTCCCAGTCCACAGGACCCAGGCTGCCTAGATCCCGCGGCGGTCGGTGGAAGATTTCCCAGGACTTTACACAAGACTCCTTCTACGGCAGAAAGGGAATCTCTCGAGAGCCCACGGCTGGGTCCCGGCAAGAGCCACTCGGCCTCAGTCTCCTCCCCTTCGCCTTCCGAGTCCTCCATTTCGAGCGACGTTTGCGCAGCGGCGGCGCAAGCAGACCAGCCAACACGCTCCACCTCCGTCCGGAGCAGGGGCCCAAGACCGAACTCAGATGCCCCGCCTGGAAGGAGGAGGAGCTAGGAGCACGCCGTCCAATCATCCTTCCGTTCTTTTCGCGCCCGCCAATGAGAATGCGGGGCTGGTCATGAGTCGATCGGCCGGCTTTGCTCTTAGACCCTTGAACTTCTTGCTTTAGCCGGCAACTGGAGTTTCGCTCTGGGCGCGTTTACCTTCATCCAGCAATTAGCCAGGATCGGTTTCGCTCAGTGGTTGTGGGAACTCATCCCTTAGGATTAGCTGAGGGTTCAGAGTGTCCTAAGAACAAGTCAAGTGCTTCCTTGCAAGGCTTGAGCGCCAAATGAAAGTCTTTAGACACTTCCGTTGCCCCGCTGGTTAAGCTCGCTTTTCTAAGAAAGTGAAAGGGATTAAGCCATCTCTTAACGAGAGATAACCATGTCTGAAAAGGGGCATCCGAGAGGGGCAGGGTCCCTAGTGGCTCGTTGATGTGCTACAGTGTTAGAATATACTGTGGTGAATAAAGCTTACTAATTTCCCCGAAAGAGGGAGAATCCCACTTCCTTTATGATATTAGGAAATATCCGTTTCACAACGAAACAGAAAGTTGAACTGTAGTTGGAGAAGTTAGTAACAAACTTTCTTTTCGGGAATAGAAACAAAAAGAACAAAATTGTACCCTTTTGATTAGAAAAGAACATAGATTTTTTTTTTTTACAAACGAATCTGAATCAGAATTTCAGGATTTGGGTTCACACTGCACACCAACCCAAAACGTAGTGTGTGGTGGGTATCCAACCAATGTGGTTTGTTCATGTTAAATCCTGGGTTAGTTTATTATAGGGACCTCGCCAATTTCATTGAAGGATGTTTTGAGTTTGGAGAATATGATGAACCAGAAGTTAACTTTATGCTTTGGATCTGAACAATACACTAGGGCTAAAACATGGTTAATATATATATGACTATGACTAACTATGGTGTTCACACAACCAGTTTAATCTGGTTATTGAATTAACTAACCCATTTTCTGAGTTGTCTATGGAAATTCTCAATCATCCAGGTCATGGTTGTCCAAAGGTGCTTTTTCCAAAACACAACTGGACTTTCCTGATTTTTTTCTTTGAAAACGTATCAATAGTTCTTGAATGAGAAGTGAAAGGTTTTCAAAGGAAAAAACAAGAAAACGCAGTTCCCTTATGGAAAAAAGTACGTTTGGAACATTTTTTGGGTTGTACAATACGGAACACGAAGTTACCAAGGAACTGGATTCATACCACAACTTCATAAAGCTCTTTCCTGACTTAACAGGTGAAATGCAACAGGTAAGTAGGTCTTTACCCCCGGGATTAAGCTACTGTATAATAATAGCAGCCTGTGAAGCCAACTGCGTTTGATTTTCACTGGAGTCAATACACATCAGAGGGCGCCAAGTTAGGGGAAAGTTTGCCGAGCAAGCGCCTTTTTGAAAATCCCACGTAATTTCTCCGATTGCTTCTCTTCTCTTTAAGTGGCTTTCGTCCTTCCAACCTTCTTTAAAGCTCATTTTGAACTACATAGAAGCATTAGATGACATTCAATTGCAAGGAGACGAACTTCTGCAATTTCTACAGGCCTTTATCTGGTTCTTGAAAATCGGGGAGGAGAGTGGATGTGGGGAGAAGGGGTTCCATCATCCTTTCCACAAACCTAAACACCCAGCTCTCTTAAGTTCTCTCTTCCCGCGCCTCCGCGACCAGCAAAAGAGCTCACTACGTCCCCGAATGACCTCCGCATCTCTCACTGCTGAAGGATCCGAGAGCAATTTTCACGCCCAGAGACTTCGCGAAGAGGAAGCTCGTAAAACTTCAAAGTTCTCGCGGGCTTCCCGCGCCTTTGAGATCCTGCGTAGCAGCTCCCGGCTAAAATTCGGCGGGTTCGGCCCACCCACACGGTATTTCGTTTCTACTTTAGAAATCTGGGCTCCTGAAAATTATTGTTCTTGAGGTCGTACCATTGCATCCACTAGAATAGAATAAATAACAAGAGTTTGAAGGGATCTTGGAAGTCTTCTAGTCTAACCCCCTCCTCAGGCAGGAAACCCTACACCATTTCAGACAAATGGCTGTCCAGTCTCTTTTTAAAAACTTCCAGTGTTGGAAGATCCGCAACTTCTGGAGGCAGGTTGTTCCACTGATTAATTAATAGATCCAGTTCAGCATTTTTCTCCCCGACTCTTAGCCTCAGAGGTGTCCCTGAGTAAAAAAACCACTCCGATGATACTCATAAGGTCTGCTTAAAAGTTTCATTTTAGTTTAGATATGTGAAATCTATTGGCCTTAGTGATAATGGAAGAAAGAGCTACTCTGGCTCAAAAGTCCGGACTAAAAGTTACAACTCCATCTTTGTCATCCTCCGCTCATTTCCAAAGATATGGACTCTTAAGCGTTCTGGGATCTAAGGCGAAAAGAACTCTGCACATGGCCCTGCACAACACCTGCTTTTCCGATTGCAAACCTTAAGTCTCAATCCCGGTAAAAAGGAATTCCAGGATTTCCGACCAGCCACTCGAGGGCGCGTAAAGGCGCGACTTACCCCCGCCCTAAGGCGCGCAAGCCGAGCGCGGGCTGTCCTTTGGAGCCCGCGCAAGGAAAGCGTCGACTTGGAAGCAACCGGGCAGGATTGCACCGCGCCGCTCCAGTCTGGAACGGGGCGGGATCGAGGAAAGGGGCGGTCTTAGGGAGCCGGGAATGCCTGCTTGCCTAGCCGGGGCCGAGGCCGGGACCGCTGGGGCGGGCGTGGGCGCGGCGGCTCGCTGGCTGGCTGGCTGGCTGGCGCGCCGTCATCCTTCCCACCCTCCTCCCTCCCTTGGCTGTGCCGTGCGGGCTCTATGACCCCGAGGTTCCGAGCGCCGATGACACGGATTCCGAGGCTCAGTTACGGAAGCAGCAGCAGCAGCAGCAGCCGCTCCCCCCGCTGTCGCCGCCGCCGCCGCTGCCTCCTTCTCCTGCTCCGCCGCCACCTGGCCGAAGGGAAGCCCTGCGCGCGCAGCCCCGACTCTTCCTCCCGGCACTGGCCAAGAGGGCTCGACGGCGGCAGCAGGGGACGCGAAGAAGGAAGCGGCCGGAGTGGGTATTGCTACCGCCGCCGTCGCCACTGCCGCTCCGACGCGCCCGGGCCAGAGAGTCCCAGTGCCGCTCTTCGCGCCTGCCCGGCAGGGCGCCCCACCGACCTCTCGCCTCCGCCCCTGCCGAAGGGGTCGGTTTGCTGGCCAGCAGGCCTCGGCCAGGGAGCGCCCCACTTTCCCCGGCTCCGGCTGAGGGTCACCGCCGAGGACCCCGGATGGAGAAGCGGGGCAAGAGAGTGGACTGTCCGGCGTTACCTCCCGGCTGGAAGAAGGAGGAGGTCATCCGCAAATCGGGGCTGAGCGCCGGCAAAAGCGATGTCTACTACTTCAGGTGAGCCGGCCGGAGGGGAAAAGGCCGAGGGTCCTGAGGGCGAAGAAGGGACCCGGAGGTCGGGAAAAGCCGGAGCCCGCCTCCCCCGAGACCTGGCCTCCAGCCTGCGTAGGAAACTGCGAGCTGCCGGGGTTGAGTCAGGGCGTAACCCTGGCGGCGGTTTCGTAATGCTCCGGTTCTCGCTTGCGAGCCGAGAGGCGGCTGTGCCTCTGAGCATGTCTAGAGAGGGGGCCCGCTCCCGGAGAGGTACAACTTTTGGAGGCGGTGCTTTTGAACGTGTGAAGAAGCGGTTCATCTCAGTTCTGGGCAACTTCGCATTTCAGACACGTGGGGGGGGGCGTTTAGATCGGGAAGGAAAGTTTAGAGTCGTAACTTTCGGGAAAGCAGACAATTTGAAATTCCTAATTTTAGAACTTAACTGTTACCACTGGGAGGGGGCGCCTAGCGCCTAAGATTTGTGCAAAGGGTAGAAAGTAGGTCTGTTTCTCCTTTCCATCCTCTTGGACTGATTTCACATTTCCTCCCCTCGGGTACCACTTCTTTCCCTTCTTTTACTTCACCCCCCCCATCCCATTCTTCCTTGAAGTTTCATCTTCCTGCCTTGTGAAAATAGACCCTTTTCTACCTCCGAGCCTTTGGCTGCAATGGCCATCTGACAGATTTAGCCGGGCTCTGCATCATATCAGACCACAGGTGGCCTCTTCAGATACTCCAGCTTTTCTTTCCAAACTCTGAATGGCAAAGAAGCTTTCCTCCCTCCCCTCCCCTGGAGAACATTTCTGGGCTACTGTTCTGCTTGCCAACTGTAGGAACCTGGCTTTTAAAAGCTGGTACGTGGAGGGGCAGGCGGGCAAGAATGAAGCCTCCTTCCTCAGCCTGGTGCCCTTCAGGTGTGTTAGACTGGACTTTCCAACTCACTTGGCTGGTTGGGTGAACTGCACATTTTGAACATTTTAATCCATCAAGGGAAACAGCAGTGAAGCAGAAGCTGCTTTCAATTTCATTTCTTTCAGTTTGGTTCATGTGTTTGTACCATAGCTCCTGAGTTAATGGCTACTCAGAAACAAATAAAAAAGGGCTCTGTTTATTTGGATGGATCCATTTATAGCTCTGAGAGCCTGCTGTGGAAGACAGCGACCTTTTCCTACGAAAAACTGAGCTGTTTGTGCCTGATAAGGTGAACTTGGCAAAGTTTGTGGAGTGAAGTCCAGGCCATGTGGCTCTTCTAGGTTGAGTTAGGAAAGAGACCTCGGGGGAGACGCCCGTCTTGCTCGTGGCCTCTTGTCCATTCCCTCAGCCTCTTTCCCAATAATGTGCTTGAAGAAATTCAGGGTGCTAGATCTCTGTGTTGGGGTTAATGGGAGGTTTTACTGGAACGACAAGTGCTTGGTGACCTGTATGAAAACTCTGCACTCACTCACCCTGTCTAACCAAGACAGTTAAAACCTAACAGCTTGCCACACTTGGTTGATTTCTCTGTGGTTGGCAGGGGTTGGTGGCTTAGCAAGCTGTGCAAACTCAGCCTGTTTGGTTAGTTTACGATTCAATGGATTATTATAAATGAGGAAAGTGTCCTGCTGGAATCCAGTTTGATAGTAAAAGGCAGCCCTGCTTATGCAGCCCAAGGCAGTAACATCAGCCTTGGTGAGCCACTCTTGAGGGTTTGAACTGACACTCCCCAATTTTGGGTGGTACATTAAAAAAAAAAATCTTCTGGATAAAGCAACCTGGCATTCTTGTTTCTGCTTGAAGTGAATCCTGTGTAATATTCCCATGATTCCATTCTTCGCTCTTGTGGGCTGGAATCCAAGGTTGGGTGTTCCTTCATTTTTATTATCTGCTGGAGAGCACGGCACAAGAACACCTTGACATCTGATCTTCACTGGGCCTTCTACTTTGATTTTCAGCTTGATCTTTTCTCCATCACTTTCTAACTAAAAAAAAGCTCCATCCTCACCTGTTACTGTGGCTGAGAGTAGTGGCATTTCTGTGTGTTCTATCTTTACTAATAGTTTACAAAGTGTGGGTTAACACTTTAACGAGGTGGTTACAAATCCTTTACCCAGCATTTACCTAACTTGGCAACTTGAAAAGGTGTGGCCTTCAACTCCCAGAATTCCCCAGCCAGACTTTGCCATTGAGAAGCAAATTCTTGAAAATCTCACATCATTTTCCAAAAGAGTCTACCAGCATATTTTCTGATGAACAGGTTTTATTAAAAGGTCTAAGGTTTTAGGAGCTTCAGCCTTTTACTAAAATGTGTTAGGTGCTATCAGACTCTTCCTGAATTTTTTGCTATCACAGATTGACATAGATCTCCCTCAATAGTCCAGATTATTTCAATCACTCACTCACTTACTCACTGAATCAATCAAATAAATAAATAGGAACTGGGTGCTCAGTTGAGTACAAAAACCCAGGTTTTTTGGGAGGGGCGGATACCTACTTAAACCTTATTTTACCCCTATCTTCCAAAACCCATCTTTTCTTTTCTTTTTTCTTTATCGTAGGAGACATTTCCTGCAGGTAATATTTACTGAAGGAATAGCTGGAAAAGAAATAGCTAAATAGCTTTCCTTCTCTACTCGCAACTTTACTGCTCCTTGTTTTTTTTTCTCTTTATATGCAACTGCGTGTATTTGGGTGTGAGTGTGTATTTAAAATGGAACACAGAAAAAAAAAAGTGCCTTATCTGAGGTCACACAGTGAATTAGTGGCAGAGATGTGATATAGGTTAATTCAGGTTGTTGGCTTTCTTGTGATATTCTCTGATTGATTAGGTAAAAAGAGAACCCTGTATGAATTTGGTTCAAATGTTGCATTTCTGGAATGTTTGAAGCAGAAAAAAAACCTCTTTATATTAATTGCTGTTCTAGTCAGTTCTATAGGTTGGGGGAATGTTCTTGTCAAACTGTGTGCACTAATCTGAGATACACTATTTAGTGTCATTCTTAGTATACCAAGCTTTTATTGGATTTTTGCACCTGTGTCCTTTGTAAACATGGGAGAAAAACAAAGAAACCATGAACTCTGTTGAGGATAGACTTATAAAACTGTAACTGCTTTTTTTTTTTGAAGGAAGGCAGGAAGGCAGGTGATGGTCCTCTTTATCTGTCATGTTGCCTGCACACTTTTGAGGTTGTAGCAGCTGCCTTTCCTGTGGCTAGCAGGCCAGGCACCCTGCAGCAGCTTCTGCACCTGGAGAGCCAGACCTTCAGCACAACTGTATAGATGCTAACTTGTTCCGGCAAAATATTCTATCCTTCTCTTTTGAGAAACCAGCATTGTTTGCTTATTAACTGGAGGGGAGCATCTTGTAGTACCGAAGGGAACACATGGATTTGTAACTTCTGTTTCTCATCATCTCGAGTTTCCCCAGCATGGCACTGAATTTAAGTTTCTGTTTTAAAGTGGGGAAACAGAAACTGCAGGCCTTAAAAGTAGCTCCGAACGGTTTAAAACAGGCGTGTCTAACCCGCTGTCCGCAGGCTGCATGCAACCATTAATGTGCCCTCCCAAGATCATTAACTTTTAACATTATGTATTTTATATACATGAATTATATATTTTACATGTGGCCCAAAACAGCTTCTCTTCACTCAATGCAGCCTAGGCAAGCCAAAAAGGATGGACAGCCATGGTTTAATAGGAAAGTGGCATATTATGCACAGGTTTTCTGGCCTATTTACATGTGTATGACTTAGAGCATCATCCATGCACATCACCTTGGATGTTTAGAAACCATTGCATGCTGCAGACAAACACCCAACAATTGTCTGCCTTTCCTGTTAATAGTTCACTTTGCATCAGTCAACAACTTACATTTATTATCATTTTTTAATCAATCTGCTTATTTCTAAGTTGGATTGGGTTTGTGGCACTTACCTGTCATTCTACTAATGGAATCTTTCCAGGCTTTTAAGATAAACAGAAACATTTTAGGGGCAACCTAGAAAAAAGCACCTCAAAAGCAAGTGAAATAGGATGAAGATTTAACTCATTGCATCCCTAGAATAAAAGTCAGCTTTTAAAAAAAAAATGGGAGAGTCAGACAGGAGATTTATTTAAAAGTTTTGGGTCAAGATACAGATTCAGGACCAAAAAGGCGCTAAGAATTTCTCAGCTTATTAACGATAAGGCCATTCTACAAAAGGCCACATCTTAGACATTTGCAACTGTAAAAAATAAAACTAGCCCTTTATTATTAGTGCACTATATGGGTCTACTAATATAGTTTGACACTGTTTCACATTTTTTTGTGTTGCTAATTTATTCAATAATCCAACTATGCTAAAGCAAGGGTGTTTAAATCCAGTCTTTTGGTTTTCATGCAGAATTCCTTGTACTTAGGACAGAACTGCTTTCTATGCTACTGTGTGAAATATTATAGAACCTACATGTAGGATCCAGCTGTTGTTTGAGTCCTGATCTGTGTTTTAAAAACATTCATTTTTTACCCCTCTGTTTTGATTTTACAGCAGAAATTCTCTCTTTTTTTTAACCCAATGGGCATATTTATTTGGACGTTTGAGAACAAATGGAGTTTAGACTGTGTTTTGCTTCTTCCCATATTCACAGCAATTATAAATACATTCATATTTTATACTCTCTAAGGTTATGTCATGCTTTCCCTCTTTCCCCATATTCTACCCTTTCTGATCATCAAACCCATAAATCAAAGTTCATTTTTTCTTGTTTTCAGTAAAAGTTCAAGGGTTTTCAGTCATTAATGCATGCAGTTATCGTCATTTCCTTAATCAAACAAGACTGTTTTGCCACCACCAAGGCCAAAGTTGAGATCTTCTCCATGTAGTCACTTTGAAAAAAATGACCTCATTGCTTTGCTGTGCAGTGAGTGCAACCCTTGAGATATTTCTACAGATGTATGAAACATTATTTTAAGTAGGCAAGTTTAGACCTCTCTTATTAATTATGAATCACAAAGGATTGTGTTCAGATTTTCCTTCTGCCCCAAACTCTCTAGATAGCCTCTCGGTAGC